CTTAACCTATACTCTGCATGATTAGCTGACTTAACTTCCTTTTGTGGTTTGATTTATTGATCTCTGTATATCCTCCAGACTGTAATCCTGTTGCAAGCTACACTACCCCACTACTGATTTCTAACTATAATTATAATATTTGCACGTGTCGAACGGGAAAAATGACCGCCACTCTTAGCTGTTTTGATGTTATATTTTAGTTCAACACCTCTAGAATCATTACTGGTGTTGTTCTAACCTTCACCCCTGATCATCTGATATTCTGCACTGTAGTTTTCCTTTCAGTTTTTAAATCTTCAGTTTTGTCATTTAAATTATCAATGATAAAAAGAAATAGGATCTGCATGCTTACGTCCGTATTTCGAACTTTGAAGCTGACGATGCGCTTATTTTATCACAAGATTCGGACAAAAAAAAAAGGGCTAATACAATAAATTTGCTTTCTTGGAAAAGCTTGCTATCGGTATTGTCCATTGTTCAACTCATTGTTTTCTTACAAATTATCTGCTGCAGATTGGCTGAAGAAACAACAACAAAAAAACCTTTCTCGGAAAAGCCGATTAGTCAGTTTTGTTTTGCCAGCCCCGGTTACAGCTGTAGTTACAGTGTTAAGCTACACGTAAAAGAAGCAAGCCTAAACAATGATTTGAGATATTACTTGAGGGTCATTTTCTAAACAGAAGACTGCGCATGCGCGCTAACCAACAGCGTCATACTTTCCTCGTTCTGATTCAATAATACCTCGCCTGCCATCAGAGGGTCATGTTTAGAGAGAAAGGGAAAATAAGTAACCCAAGAATTTAAACAGAAGGACACAATGGCGAAAGTGTTACATTTTGATAAATATTATTCGTATCTTTTTCATTCAAAACCTTACTTATAAAAGAAAAATTACCCACAAAATGGCTGATCGAATGAGAAATTATTAAAATCACGGTTTGGACATTCATGGTAAGTGAATTAATTCAGGATTTGGATCGAAATTTCGGTCCAAACAAGCGTTTTCAATTTACCAAAGTCACTTTCATTTCCAAGAAAGAAAGTTTCCGCGAAACACTTCAATCAGTATCGAGTATCAGGACACAAGGTTTGATATTAACGTTTGGAACATATTTCCGCGGAAAACCGCGGGGGAAACGTTTCGGACAGTACGATTCTATTCGAAATTTTTCAATGCAACGAACTGAAAATCATTCTCTTAGTCGAGTTCCACTGTCTTTTCAAGCAATGGCTTTTCAGTACTTCTGATTCATCGAGTTAAATCCAGTCTCTTTGGATAGTTCGTGAAACACTGACTGATTTATTGATCAGTTGCAAAGCGCTGAAGTTCGGACGCCATGCTTTCAATTGGAAACCGGCTCATTCATTGACCATAATATGAACCTGTTCAATATCCCCCAAAATTTTCTATTAAAATTGAAACACATACGAAGGGCAAGGTTCCATACATGTCTTGAAACAAACCTTGTACTTACATGCAACTGTTACTCGCGCTTTAAAGTGTCGCGTGTCTCCCTTCGCGCGTGTAGGCCACTTACAGAGCTCGCGGAACGTGTACTCCGAATTCCTCCCCAACAGCATTTTAGGTTTTTTTGGTTTACCTTGACTTGGATTTTAAGCTTAGAAACCGATTGTGACATGCTGTGTTATTTTTAACGTGAAAAATAATGTGCGACATCGCAATTTCTCTTTCAAGAAGGAGTAAGCGCGTTAGACCACTAAACTTGCAGTTTCTACCGCGCTGACGCGCGTCAATCTTTAAGAGACTTATCTCAAGACATTCAGTGAAACCTTCCTTGTTAGTTGACAAACGAACCGATTCGAATGGTTGGAAAATTAATTTCCCTTGCAATTGGTTCCGGGGCTCAGATAACAATGTTCACGGCTATAACATGTTGAGTTGACCTGAGTAGCAATAAGCTTTGGTCGCTAACTTTTTAATTGCGCTGATTCGCTGATTTGACTTCCGTCTTTATCTTAAAGGCCCGTTGCCAACCTTGGTGTCACGTGGTCGCTTGTTTTTGTTTTGAAATCGCGTTTTGGTTACCTTTTTTTGACAGGACTGTAGTTCCATTAGCCCAACCGGTTGTCAGCTGTGGATCATTGTGGATCACGAACGCGATCGATGAAAGCTTCAAAGCGCCCTAAACAGTTAACTCAACGGAATCTTTTTTAGTAGATAACCTTCCTGTTTCATTTCACTACTTTTTCGAAAGAGGTGAATGAAGCAAAGAGGCGAACAAACTGAATTACAATTGAGGTCATAATTTGCCCCGGCAAAGAGGCGAATGAAACAAGCGATTTGCTTACCGAGCTGGGCAAACTGAATTAAGGTTTTCCTGTTCATTTAAAATACTTATTTGTATTGATCTCATGAAGTAAAAAAGTGATTACAACAGAAACGAATAATATTATGTACAATTCCGTGACAATTCACTAACTCAAAGGAGCTTTCTGATGTCCTCTTTCTTTTAAATATGTCTTTATTGTGTGTATTTGTCAATAACAATCCAAATTGATTTGAGTATGCATTATACAACCTTTCATTATATTATACAACGTTTATTAAAAACAAAAACAAAAAATCAAAAACAAAAACAAAAAACAAAACAAAACAAAAAAAAAACACGGATAACATATTAGTAGTGAGATGTATTAATGCTTTTTGTTATTGATTGAAATCTTTGGGAATTCATATTCCTTGCATTTTGTTCTGTGTTTGCTTTTACTTGAAACTAATTCTAAGATCTAAGGGCCTGTTTACATGGACGTGAGGAACCCCAGCTAATCTCTGATATGGTCACCACAACTATCAAACAAGATCAAATTAAACTAAGAGATTATATAAAAAAAAGAGGATTAACTGTCTTAAGGCGGTTACCTCACCCACCTGCAGTCCCCACTTCCATGCAAACAGGCCCTAGCATGGCCGCTGTTTTATTGTTGGATACATATATGCTAAGCCACGGTGACTTATGTGTAAAAGATCTGTAAAATTGAGGGGAAAAGAACATCATCTTTTATCATCTGTACTAGATTTGGGTTCTTGACAAGTTTGATAAACTGATAAGCAGCTGTAGTGCTTCGACTGCGTTTGAAATACCTATGACTGGAAACTTTTCATTATTTACTAAGTTCTACTTCCAGAAAGAGTCCCTTAAATTGCTACTAAAATCATGTATACGTGCTATAATAAAGAGTTTTTCTTTCTATTCGAAAAGTGAAAATCTCAAAATCTCGAAACGTAAAACAAATAAACAAAAATTAAGAAATAAGAAACTAACATTTAGGAATAAAATAACAGTAGACAGCGAGCAGTCTCTCATTTTTCCTCAGGGATAGTAGAGCGAGCTAAACGCGAGTGCGCGTGAAATTCACTCAACTCAAGAAAAGTGAGACGCGGCTTGGAGAGAGAAAAATGAGGGACTAAAGACAAAGCCCAAGCTTTGGACTTCATACGTAGGCAGTGTAAAGCGCTTTTGATCGTATGTTACGTTACTCTCACAACGCATAACTCTGATTGGCTGTTCCATGGCAATCTGTCTAAATCTTTTGATTACTAGATGATTTCTTACCTTATTTACAAAGTGATCGAAGCATTGCCAAGTTACCGTAATCTTTTTTGAAATTAGAAAGAAGCAGTTTTCCTTTCTTATGATCTGTGCCCCTGCAAGAAAAAAAAAAAATCACAGTCATTCATGACATGCATGCAAGACTGCTGTTAGACATCGATAAATATAGATCGATCGATAAGTACACAGCACTGATATCTCAAGGGATACAAGTCACTTGTACGCGTAGGAACAAACGAAAATTCAAAACAACACATTTACCATGTCTCAACCATGTGAAATTCGTCGGTAACAACCAAAAGAAATGTGAAGTTCCCATTGGGGTTTCGCTTCTTTCAGGATCTCTGTAAACTTCTTGCATAAGCAGTCTTCAGCTGAAGCGAAAATCATTTGAAACTTCCCTTTGGAGATATCTTTTAAACAATCCTCACTGCTTGGTTCCAAGTGAACCGATGTTGTACCAAGACCGTTCTTCCACTAATGCTTTTGAGTGAAGAAATAACGAGCTGGAGGTTTCCCAAACGTTTCCCTAGTCCGGTTGGAAGTATCGCAAGTACATAATTTTCCCGCCAACAGAGCCTCCACCGCTTATACTCAGGGTAGTACTGTTCTTGTTTCATTGATGTTATGTTTGGATTTTTTTTTTTACAGAAATGCCCGAAGTTTGTCAGTGATTGAAAGAAATTGTTATTATGTCGATTGTTCATAGCGGCTGGCGCATTTTTAGAAATATTGCACCATGAGAGAGCCAAATCAGAGTTATGCTTTGTGAGAGTAACGCATGAAGTCCAAAGCATTGGATTTGTCTTTAGTTCCTCATTTTTCTCTCTCCCTGCCACGTCTCTCCTTTTCGCGTGGGGTGATTTTTACGCGGCCTCGCGTTCCGCCTCACTCTGCTATCCCTGAGGGAAAATGAGGGAGTACTCGTAGCAACTTGATTAACCTTCTACCGGAAGTTATCGCTTTAAGTTTACGCTAGGCAAACACTCTTTTAAACCTAACCTGCATAAATCTTCTGTAATCTATTTTTGTTTCTTTTTACTTTCTTTTTTCTCTATTTTGATTTTGATTTTATCGTTCCTAACTTATGCTTTTACGCATTATGATTTTGTTTCACCGCTAAAATCATCGGCTTCAACTTAATGCTCCAGCTGATCCCTCTAAAATGCCTGTTCTCCCCCTAAAAACTCGCAGACCTTATTAGATAAGCAGATAGTACTTTTCAAAGTGAGTCTTCTAATTCAAAACGTTATGGTTTTAACAACATACAATTTTATTAAGAGTTTCAATACAGCAACATATATCTTCTTACCGTCTGTATTTGATTTGCATTGAATTTGTTTTAATTTCAATTTTAAGTCTGTTTTCTTGGATTTTTTTTATCTTTTGTTAACAAAAAAAAAATGCAGTATACTTTGTGCTTTGCCTTCATAAAAATTACTCGAAAAAATGCTAGCATAATGAAGTCAACAGAAACCCGTCCTAACGACAGTTGTCCAATATTTGTACGGCTGCCATTTGGCATGTTAAAAAACTTTTACCAGACTCGGTTTTAAGCAAGAGAGCTATCTCTTGGTTTAAGGATACATGTAGTAACAAAAACAAAGACGGACAGGATGCGTGATAGACTCTAATATACAGCTATCGGGTCTCTAAAGTTCTCTTCTGCGAAAGTCAATCAGCTTCTTGATCGACTTCATCTCCATCTTCATCTGTTGCATCTTCCTTGGAAGAATTTCGCTGAAATAATCTTTTTAGCAGTCTCATTATCCATCTAAATGCAGTCTGGAATACATCTCCAGCTCCTGGGTGAATATACTCTCCGGCTAACTTGCTAGCTCCTTCACCCACCTCGCTTATAAATTCCAGTACCACTTCAGCGGCAGCTGCTTCGTCTATGTCGATGGTGGAGGTATCCTGTTGCATCTTTCCTTTCTTTGGTTTAGGCTTTGTTTTTGGTGGTATCTTGGACGTTTTTACTGGCAACGAACGGCTTTTTGTTCGAAATTCGGTGTCGGGGTCACTATCAGGCTCGTAGCCGCTGTCCTGCTCTCGGTCCACAAGTTCGAACCCGTGAAAGCTTCTACGTTGTCCTCGCTGTGGAGTCCCTTCTGCCTCTTGGAGTGGCAGGCTCCTTCGAAGAGGACGCTCTTTTGCTTGGACGTCCGGCTCAGCGGAAGAGATTTTTAAGCGATCCTTGTTTAAAAGAAGAAAAGGGAACCTGGCACTTCTGTTAAGGCGTTTGAAAGTTGCGATCCAAAATGCCGTCTGCCAGTTGGTAATGCCAGGTAAACATGGCTCGCACAGGTCTCCAGTTGCAACAAATGGCACATTGATGACTAATTTTCCGGCCACCCCGACTTTTAGTAGGACATCTTGTATTGTCTTCTTGAAACATCGCATTCGCTCATTGAAGAGACTTATGCGCTCTTCTTGGGTGGCGTCCTTGTTTGGGGGAAGAACTTCATTGGCAAACGTCAGAGCCACAACGGCGTGTTCCCATAGCTGAGTACCAAACGTTGCCGTCAACATCTCCACGGTTTTAATGTCGTCATTACGGAATCGTCGGCTGTTCATCTCTGTGCAGAAAATGAACATGTCGCAAGGATCAGTTACCCTTTCCTTGATTTTTCGCAGATACTCTTCCTCATTGCCGGTACCATCCGCCAGTCCTGGAGTGTCAAACACTGTAATTTGCACGTTGTTCATGGTAAAATGGTAAGGTGTTACCTGAAAAAAAAAAAACCACATTAAGAACGTTACATCTAGGGACAGGAAAGTGAAGGTGAAGCAAATTAATAAATTAAAGTACGTGAAATAACGTTTGTTCGGCACTGACGAAGTAAAAAGTATAGAAGACATGCCGCAGTTATGTCGGAGAGATGCGGAAACATTACTTTCAACTCTCCGGTTAGTAACACCCAGCAAAAATCTAGTAGTATTTTTTGGCCGACTTAGCGTACAATCGCGTCATACTAGTGCTGACGGCGGCGGTAATAATTACTTAACACAGACTCTTTTAGTGCCAGCGCGATCCTTTTTCCCGAGTTCTGTTTCGAATCCAGAACTTACCTCAAACGTTTCTGGGTCAAGGGTATAGCCTTCTTTTGCAAGATTTTGGCCAGTAAGCGCATTTACCAAATGCGACTTGCCGGCACCCGTTTTGCCACTTAGAAGAATAGTAATTTCCCTTCGACCGGATAAAAAACACTGTCCAAGATAATAGTCCAGAGTTTTTAAGCCATTTATCAGCAACATTGCCTGCTCCCGGCTTGAGGCACCGGAAAATTTGAACTCTGGAGGGATCTTTCCTTCGGCCATCTTGATACCACAGTGGTGCTGTAAGACAGAGGTATAAAGTGAGATCGAGACATAATAAACAAAAAAAAACATGCCTTTTGTAGAATTAAGAAATGCCCGCGGAAGGTTGCTATACAGGAAAGAAGCATAAGATTTGTTCGAGGAGTAGCCCCCCAAGTTGGCATGGTACCCCGGTTATTAAGTCGAAAAGTGAGGGGGTGGTCTATCTTTCGATGCACCAGGAGTAGCAGGTTGAAAACTTGTCAGACACAAACACCGCTAGTTTTTGTCTATTTGGCCCGAACGAAATATGCAAATAAGGTCACGTGACTTGCCACGCTCAGAAACGCTTTGAACTTAAACGGGCACGCTTTTTCTTGTTTTCTTAATTTTTTTCTACTAGTCTCATGATTTTAAGGCGGTAAGGTATGTCATTTCTTCGCTTGTAATGTCAAGATTTTTTAAAGGAAAGGCCTGTTAAAAAGATACACTTATTTATTTATTTAGTATTAACTTCGCCAAGAGGCCTGGATCACTCACAAGGCAGGCTCCACTACGAGGTCCAGAAAGGAAGAAAAAAGAAAAGAAAATTAGTAATACAACTAGCAAGAATGAAAAATACTTTAGAAACGACAAAAAAAAAAAACTGATGCAAAAACCGAATTGGGGAGGACATGCATAAATTAGTAATACAACAAGCAAGAATGAAAAATACTTTAGAAACGACAAAAAAAAAAAAACTGATGCAAAAACCGAATTGGGGAGGACATGCATCGATAAAAAATCAACAACACATGCGATCGAACAAGCTGTTCAATGGCCGACTAGTGTTGCACTTAATACACACACTCTAAAAGGTCTGGGGGTGCCACTTGGACTGGGAGACTGGGTACTAGTCGGAAAACCCGTTTCTTTTTAAATAAACGAGACGTCGAGGAGTTACCAAGCGCAGTTTTGTAGGTGCTTATATTTTGTATTTTCTTGTAGCAGTTAAGTAAAATAACTTTTGCTAAAAAGTGTGCCCATTTTTTAAAGATTTTTTGACAGTTGGTGGAGCTGTTAAATCACGTGACCTATTTGCATAATTTTCGTGTGTTGTGAAGTATAATTTTTTATGGTTTGTAATATTTTTTGGAATTTTGTGCTTTATAATAAACAATTCATATTATAGACTACCCCCTTCATTTTTACCGGAAACACCTAGCTGTTGACACATGCTTAATTAACTTGGGCGAGAGCAACTCTGGCTTCTTGAGTGCTTAGCAAACCTCCCAAGTGCATCCATAACTCGATGGTTGTACAGCTGCAACGTTTACCATTTCTTTTACAATATAATTAAAACAGAAAACATTTCAATTTGCCTTCGGTTGAATCAGTCATCGGGACCGAGTTGATGTGTACTGTCATTTGTCCGCGCGTAAACAAATCGTGCCTTTGAGTTTTGTTTGGTGGTCTAGTTTTGCTGTTTTACCAGTCCCCAGTCCCCGCCGCGTAGTACCCGATCCAACATGCTTGCAAATTAAAAGGGCGCCCAAAATTTTTCATCCGAGAATGTTTGAGCGCTAGACAGTAAAAATCTATGATTCTTTCTGAACATGCTTTAAAAGGAAATGGCGATAAACTTGTTAAAGAGTTTCTTAGCATTCTTGAATCTGCGACCTCTTGGTTCAGTAGACATTCGTGAAAAAATGACTTTGTATGAGGCTGGCAGTCGAGAGTCGGACGCGAGTGCGAGGAGTTTCATAGTTTCTGTAACGCAGCCGGTAAGTCACTCTTTTTCTTGTCATGTCAGTTGTAAAGTGAAGTATTTTGGGAAGGTAGCGAACGTTAAAGTAAGGATTTGAGGGGGAGGCAATGTTCCCCAGCACTGTCGTTCCATGAGCCCAACCTCTTACCAGCTGTGGATCATTGTGGATCACGAACGCGATCGATGAAAACTTCAAAGCGTCCTAAACAGTCAACTCAACGGAATCTTTTTTAGCAGATAACCTTCCTGTTGCAGTTCACTACTTTTTCGAAAGAGGTGAATGAAGCAACGAGGCGAACAAACTGAATTACAATTGAGGTCATAATTTGCCCCGGCAAAGAGGCGAATGAAACAAGCGATTTGCTTACCGAGGTGGTCAAACTGAATTAAGCTTTTTCTGTTCATTTAAAATACTTATTTGCATTGATCTCATGAAGTAAAAAAGTGATTACAACAGAAACGAATAATATTATGTACAATTCCGTGACAATTCACTAACTCAAAGGAGCTTTCTGGTGTTCTCTGATGTCTTTATTGTGTGTATTTGTCAATAACAATCCAAATTGATTTTTGAGTATGCATTATACAACCTTTCATTATATTATACAACGTTTATTAAATACAAAAACAAAAAATCAAAAACGAAAACAAACAAACAAAAAAAAAAACACGGATAACATATTAGTAGTGAGATGTATTAATGCTTTTTGTTATTGATTGAAATCTTTGGGAATTCATATTCCTTGCATTTTGTTCTGTGTTTGCTTTTACTTGAAACTAATTCTAAGATTAAGCAGNAAAAAAAAAACACGGATAACATATTAGTAGTGAGATGTATTAATGCTTTTTGTTATTGATTGAAATCTTTGGGAATTCATATTCCTTGCATTTTGTTCTGTGTTTGCTTTTACTTGAAACTAATTCTAAGATTAAGCAGGATCCGAATTATAGTTACACATACAAAGCTGAAGATAAAAACAAGCTTAAAAAATACAAGATAACGTAACTATGTATTTTATACATCATAGTCTCGAGCTCCCTTTTGTCTCGTCACGCAATGCTAGAGACATAAACGGCTGCGAGGGAGACAACAACCCTCCCTTTTTTAATCTTACAACCTTGAAGACCAGGTGATATCCTAAACTGAGATACAATATATATATATTTACTACCGTTCCAACCCCTTGATCTTTCTACATGGGGCCGCACTTCACTTCCAATGAGGAACCTCCAGTTTTACGTAGTTATCGATTATAGCTCACGGAATTACGATTCTCAATCAATCAGTCAGTCGAGGCTATTTCCAATTTGGTCCGATACATGTTATTAAAATAATTATTATTAACAAATGGAGGAGGACTACAGAAACCCTTGCAGGCTTTTACAGGGTAGTCCCCCTTTAAATGACCTTAATATTATTTCAATAGTATATTTGGTATCAGCGATTCGATTATCAAAAATTTATATAACTTGTATTACACTATTTCAAATAGGCATACAAAAATAGCAACCTAGAACTAAGGTTTGATTACAATAGTTATCTGATAGTAAAAACTGTTCGATCTTTATGTTAAATATATTTATTGAAATAGACGGTTTTATCTTACGTGGGATAGTATTCCATACGCTAATTACTCTCATTTCTAGTTGAATAAACACCTAAAAACCAAGCAATATTGTAACGAATTCTAGGAAATTTGAGCACGTGACCCCTTTACTCCGCCAATTTAACTGACTTCCTGTCAAACAATTATATGTATTATAGGGACTCCGTGTTAACTTACAAATTAATGATTCGGCAAGGGCCTCGCACCCAAACATCTGGTAGATAAACTTACTAAACGCTCCAGCATCCGTGCTCGCCACACCCGCAAGCGTGATTTATTACATATACCATTGTATAGAACTGCTTCTAACCAACGCACATTTGCATATAGAGGAACTAGTATTTGGAACAATTTAGATAATGACATAAAGCAATGCGTTTCCTTGCAGTCTTTCAAGCAAGCTATAAGAGGGCAACTTTTAGAGCAAGTCTTGTAATTAGAGTCTGTAAAACCTTTTTAGGATGATTCTATTAAAGTTCTACGTACACACTCTATTCTAATTTGTCTTGATAAACTTTTTGTGTAAATTAATTTTTTTCCTTGTATAGTGGTTATGGACTAAAAAAAAATTTTCTGTACAAGAACCATTAAAATACACAGGAAGAGATTGTGTTCTAAGGTTATCAAACAGAACGTGCATCCACAAGAAAATCATCAATTTGATAGATATCTAATAAATTTAACTTTTGGAAAAGAGGCCGAGAGGAAGCTGTGTATGACATACTGAAGCTTGCGATTTGCATATAACTCTCAAGTCTACCTTCGAAGTATCTTAATTCGGTAGATTCATGAGCTTTCTACTCTCGCGGTAAGGATTCAGTATAGGCGAATCACGGTATTTGAGGAAATTACACATATACATCTGTTTGATTTCTTTAAAACGTGACCACTATAGATTTTCGCCTGGCGCCGGGCTACTAGTCTGGTGTCCAAAAAAGTAGGGGGCTTGACGACTTGGTCGGTACAGCTGGATAGCCCAGGGACTGCCTTAACAGTGGGTGGGTGGCTCAGGCCCTGGGGTCAAAACTAGTGGGGTAGGGAGGGGGCTGTTTTGACACAACACCTTCAGTAAGGAGCAGTGTTCAGTGGAGACTTTAACTGGCGAATACCTTGGTGTTAATTTAACCTAGCCAGCTGAATCAGGCCTCTACCGAGAATGATTATCATGATAATTGCAGAGCTCAGTGGGAGGTGCAGACAGTCACCCATTGTCCTGGGTGTGGAGGGTTAAAGTCTTGGTACCAAGGAGACACTTAGCATAGGACCTTTAGACACTCACTGAAGCCATGTTTTCATAAATCCAGTCAGACATATCATACATACATATATTTCACGTCCCCGCGGGGCTTTTCAGTGAAATATTTAACAAAATAGAATGACATGAATTAAACCAAAACAAAGTAAGGGGGTACTGCGTGTCTAAAAATTAAAATACAGGAAGTTACATTAATTAAATACCAAATGATATGAACTATTTATTACTGAGTTCAATGCTAACAGTGCTCTGTGATCTTATAAATTCAGTTAGAGTCCACTAGAAGTCTATTTCTCATCATAGTCTAAAATTGCGTTAACGATTGACTTAACTTGATATTTTTAGAGCGTTCTAGAGCTTCAGAGCACTCCATTTCAGGTAATACTTTCCGCAAGAGAGCATCACAGATGACCAAAATTATGTGCATTACATACCTTATAAACTTGTTGTCGTTCAATTTTGCAGATGCACGCGTTCTAGGCTTTGAGCCAAGTGCCACGCACGCCCTTTTCAAATACTTTCGCAGCAAATGTTGGGAAAAACCCCTTGGCTGATTACGGGACTCGGATAACAACTGTTTACCCTTGAGGTAGCCAAAATAAGCTTTCACCTTAACCTATACTTTGCATGATTCGCTGTCTCAACTTCCTTTTGTGGTTTGACTTATTGATCTCTGTATATCCTTCAGACCGTAATCCTGTTGCAAGCTACACTACCCCACTACTGATTTCTAACTATAATTATAATATTTGCACGTGTCGAACGGAAAAAATGACCGCCAGTCTTAGCTGTTTTGATGTTATAGTTTAGTTCAACACCTCTAGAATCATTACTGGTGTTGTCCTAACCTTGACCCCTGATCATCTGATATTCTGCACTGTACTGCATGTTTTCCTTTCAGTTTCTATTTCTGCAGTTTTGTCATTTAAATTGTCAAAGATAAAAAGAAATAGGATCTGCATGATTACGTCGGTATTTCGAACTTTGAAGCTGACGAAGCGCTTATTTTATCCCTCTCTCGGTCACAAGATTCGGACAAAAAAAAGGGTTAATACGATAAATTTGCTTTCTTGGAAAAGCTTGCTATCGGTATTGTCCATTTTCAACTCATTGTTTTCTTACACATCATTTGCTGCAGATTGGCTGAAGAAACAACAACAAAAAAATCTTTCTCGGAAAAACCGATTAGTCAGCTTTGTTTTGCCAGCTCCGGTTACAGTAGAACTTTACAGTGTAAACGGCTACAAGGAAAAGAAGGAAGCCAAAACAATGATTTGAGATAATACTTGAGGATCATATTCGAAACAGAAGGCTGCCCATGTGCGCTAACCAACAGCGCCATACTTTCCTCGTTCTGATTCAATAACACCTCGCCTGCCATCAGACGGTCATTTTAGAAAGAAAGGGAAATAAGTAACCCAAGAATTTAAACATAAGGATACAAGGGCGAAAGTATTACATTTTGATAAACATTATTCATATCTTTTTCATTCATGACCTTACTTACATATAAAAGAAAAATTACCCACAAAATGGCTAATCGAATGAGATACTATTAAAATCACGGTTTGGACATTCATGGTAAGCGAATTAATTTAGGATGGGATCGAAATTTTGCCGGTCCAAACAAGCGTTTTCAATTTACCAAAGTCACTTTCATTTCCAAGAAAGAACGTTCCCGCGAAACACTTCAATCAGTATCAAGTATTAGGATAAGGTTTGAGAAATGGAACACGAATTGATATATATATATATATATATATATATTTATCTAGCCGAATTTTTGAAAACATACCTCAAAATAGACCAGAATATTCGCACAGAAAGCTGGCGATAGCCAGCTTTCTGGTCACTGCGGTGAGAAAAAACATAGGCGGCTTGCTGTCCTGGTTGGTCTCATTGTCAAGTTCAGTCCCTGAGCTAACTCGCCATGGGTTGGAAAGGGGCCTCCATGTCAATCCCTAGTGGGGGAGGGTGCTGCAAAAGCGTTGTACCTTCCGTTAGTCCTGATCTGGGAGAGTCAGTGCACTGGTCATGTCTGCCTTTAGTTTGTCATGTCAAATTCTTGTAACGTTTGAGGCCCATTGGCCAATGAAAGCATTCCCCTCAAGCACGTGCTAGGCTGGGGGGGGGGAGGTGGAGGAAGTCAGGGAGGGGATTTAACCTTGAATTCTCTGCTTACAACTTGCTTAAGTCTCAAGCGTCCTCCGTCATTCAGGGCCTTTAAGCAGCTAGAGTGTATGGACAAGTCCAGAGTGTCTTTTTGATGGACTTGAATGTTTCTTTTGCTAATCAGGAACCAAGAAGAGTCACCTTAAGAGAACCATGGGTAAGAGCTGAGTCTCTTGGCGATATTTACTTTAGTTGAGTCAGTTTAAGGTGTTTGGGCTCCTGGTGTCCGATGGTACGGTTTTTATAAATCCGGCTAGATATATATAAAGGTTTGGAACATATTTCCGCGGAAAACCGCCGGGGCAAACTTTTCGGACAATACGATTCTTTTCGAAAATTTCCAATGCAACGAACTGAAAATCATTCTCTTAGTCGAGTTCTACTAACTTTTCAAGCAACGGCTTTTCAGTACTTCTGATCCATCGACTTAAATCCAATCTCTTTCCATAGTTCGTGGAACACTGACTGCATTCATTGATCAGTTGCAAAGCGAAGTTCGGACGCCGAGTTTTCAATTGGAAACCGGCTTATTCATTGACCATAATATGAACCTGTTCAATATCGCCAAAAATTTTCTATAAATTGAAACACATACGAAGGGCAAGGATCCATACATTTCTTGAAACAAACCTTGTACTTACATGTAACTGTTACTCGCGCTTTAAAGTGTCGCGTGTCTCCCTTCGCGCGTGTAGGTCACTTACAGAGCTCGGGTAACGTGTACTCCGAAAAATTCATCCCCAACAGCATTTTAGGTTTTTTTGATTTTCCTTGGCTGAGAAACCGATTGTGACATGCTGTGTTATTTTTAACGTGAAAAATAATGTGTGACATCGCAATTTC